AGTACTGGTGCCACAGCACAGCCTGCAGCCCTTGCCCACCCTGCCCATCCTGCCCTCTGCATCCCAGACCTGATCTTACCTTTTTTGAAGGGAGGCTGTGAGCCCCCAGGGCCAGGATGAGCAGCAGGAGATATGGAGTTACTTGCACCATCTCTGCAGCAGGCAGACAGCTGATGTACCTTGAGATGTGCTCCTTGCAGGACTCTGCTAATGCTCCTGCTCCTTCTCCTTTTTATTGCTGCCAGAGCTGTGGGTGGCAGCTCTGGCCAGGGCATTGTGCAATCCGGGTGTTTCCAAAGTCTTGGTTCCCAGCCATATGAGGGGGTAATTGCAGCAGACATTCCCAGAAAAGACTGCTGGAAATGCCCCTCCTTGCTTCCCCTGCACCTCGCAGATCAAATCTGGCTTCTACCAGGACTGTCAGCAATGGTGAGATGGGAAAACCCCTCTCTGGAGCTGTTGTCCATTCTGCCACCTATTTGCCATGTCACTGCTGTGCCCAGGAGTGCCAGGGAGCCTTAAAGCCAGTGCACCTCAGGACTGGCCACAGCACACAGCTCACCCTGCTCTTCCTCACCAGACATGATCATGCAAACCCACCCAGCATCCGGATTCCCTCGGGACATTGTTTTTGGCCCCCACACTCAAAGTGCCCAGTGCCCTCTCGCCTGGAGCTGACATGAATGTTTGCTGCTGTTTTTACAAACTGGCTTGTGTTTCTTGGAAGGAAATTATTTAGTTAATGAAAAACCAATATTTCCTGAATATCTTGGACATTGTATGTTAATGCTGACAAAAGTTGTACTTACATAGGGATTCTTGAATCACTATAAGTACATATTATATAACTCCCCTTACGTTATAGTTGTTGCTGGCCAGGAAGGCTGAAGTGGCTGGGTTCACGCCAGAGTTTCTCACCCATTTCTCAATGCTTTTCAAGGCAGGCTCCAAAAATATATGTTTTAATTCAACCAGTCCTCAGCAAGAGTCCATCAGCAAGAGGTGATGGAGCCCTATTCACCAGAAAATAGTCATTTTCTCAAAATGGAGACAGGGCAGCTCTTGGCCACATCTCAGAAATACTTTTCAAATTTTTCTTTCTCTTTAATCTCACATTTGAGACCCAGTTTCTCTCTGACAGTAAAATTCAATGCCATCCAGGCTGGAGAGCCCTGCATTTCTGCTGCTGGCTTCTCCACAACCCCCTTTCCTCTCTCCAGGAGTCCCACAGCCCTCTGGCACCCCTGCCTGCAAGAGATCCCTGCCCAGAGGGCTGGCTGCCTGCAGGCCATTCCTGCCCCAGTGTTTGTTGTCTCAGAAATTAACTGCACAACAAGGTATGTTTTCCCACATCGCTGCTGTTTTGCTCTGACTGTTTTTTGGCAAGCAGGTGCTGCCTGGAGTGTGGCCGACGTTTGTGATAAAGGTCAGGGTTGGTCTGGAAAGGTTTCAGGGGGCAAGAGGGGCAGACATCACCCCTCTCTATTACACCCTTGCCATCTGCCCTCTGTTATCAGCCCCCCTCTATCACCCCCTCACCATCACCGTGGTTCAGGGAGCTCCAACTCCAGTAGGAACCCTGGGGATGGGCAAGATCTCCATGCCCAGCAACCCACAGTTTATTCCCAGCTGTAGGTTCAAGTTTAGCATCACACAAACAATACTGGGTATTTCTGTCCAAAATCTTTATTTTTCTTCTATGTAACACTCCCTGTCCCACCGGTGTACATTCCAAGTGCAGGGATCAGCTCAGTGCTCAAGGAGGCAAATTTCTTGACCAACCTCAGTTGAGTCAAAAATAAAACAAGCCAAGAGCTGGGGTATCTCCATGGGTTTGCACCTTCCAAAGGGCAGAGAGCAAAGTAGCTTGGAGCTGGCAATCATTGCTATGGCTAAATTCTGCAATGCCATTCCTGAGCCCTGGTGCAGCAGGAAGCGGGTGAGGGACAATGGGCAGGCAGGGAAGCAATGCAATGCAGAAAGCACTGAAGAAGCTAAAAATTGACAGGGCTGTGGTTTAAAACCCATCAGTATCAGGAGGTTATGCAAAATAAGGGTTAATCATAAGAAGGAATAATAAGAAGAAAGGGTTAATAAATAACTCAACTTACTTCCTCAAACTGGGACTGAATCAGCCTTGAAAAACAGTAGTACAGGCTGTACTGTAATGAAAATCTGGGACTAAGGACTGTCCTCCCTGTCTGCAGCTGTGCCCATGCAGAAGCTGCTGAAAGCTGAGTCTATCACATAAAAGATTTATTGAGGTGATAGGGCCAAAAGAGGAGGAAAAGGCAGAAATATCCCTTTATACAGACTGAACACCTCAACCTTTGAAAAAAATCTTGCAGACAGCCTGTTGCCTGGGGTTAAAGAACAATGCTGATGGGTTGCAGCAACACCAGCCATGTCAGAAGCTGTGCTGGCTTCAGTGCCTGCTTTTGTCCCTTTCCAGCTGGATCAGGACATTGTTGCTGCTGTCGGCAGCTTCCAACACAAGACAAGTGGAAGTGGGAACTGCAGGTGAGCCACACTGATGTCTCAGCAACCATGTCCCCACTGGCCTCACCATGGGGACCCTAGGGGAGGGCATCTCTGTCCCTCTCCATCATCAGTGGGCTCTGCCATGCCAGGATGACACCAGCTGGTTTGGGGGAGCCACATCCGGGACGATATATCCTTCCTGGTTATCGTTATTCCTCTACCCACACGGATGCAGGAACACTCCCCTGGGGAGTGAAGAAAGGCCCATTTGTCACCCACTCGACAGCATTGGGCTGCTGCAGTGATCCCCTGCCTGCACCAGCTTCCAGGAAGGGCAAGTAGCTGATGAATGGTCACAACTGGTAGGACAGGCTGCTGCCTACCCCAGCCCTGAAGGCTATTAAGGATTAAGGGAGCACTAAGCTCTAAAGTGGACACAAAGAGCTTATAGTCCTTCCTGTATGTCCTCAGAGCTCTCCTGCCCTTCACTGTAATATTCTCAGAAATCCCCTGCCCTCCCTGTGATGTCTCCAGACCTCCCCTCCCTGTGATGTCCTTGATGCTCTTTTGTCTGTCCAGCTTCATCTGACCTTGCACAGGTCCCCCGTGCATCCCCAGAGGGGCTGGGACTCTCCCACCATGTGGGTGTCCTTTGTCAGGAGGTCAGCAGCCCCTCCTATATCAAAGGGGTCGAGCGGGCGCGGGGCAGCAGCACAGGCAGAGCCCGGGCACCGCTCACAGCCACCACCACCAACGCCATGGGGACCCTCGGCTGCTGCTGCTGCTCAGCCTGGCCCTGCTTGACCTCCACGAGGCTGCAGCCAGGAAGGTAAGGGCAGCCCTGGGGCAGTCTGGCCCTGCTGAGCCATGCTGTGCTGTCCCAGGCTGCAGGGTGACTGGATGAGGAGCTGTGTGCCTGGCTGTGCCATACCATGTTGTCTGATGAGCTGCATGCTCTTGTTGTGCCCTGCTGTGGCATCTGATGCCATCCCACTCCATGCCATGCCATCCCACAAGCATCGTGAGTGACCAAGGAGGCTGCCAGCTCTGGCTGTGCCGTCCCTGGGGGTGCTGTTGGTCACCTCCCCTTGGTGTAGGAGGGTATCCATCACTCCCAGCTCTCCCTTGCCCTCCCTGGGAGGAAGAGGTGCTGTCCCAGCCACTGCCCATGCCACTGATCCCTGGTGCCACACAGAGGGGCCTTGCCAGCCCCATACATGCAGGACATATGTCCCACTGCTTAGGGAGGCTGCAGGGATGGCTGTGACTCATCACTGCCCGAGGCACCCACACAGTCCCCAGTCTTCATCTCTGTCTGTCTGGGGACACAACACGAAGGGCAGTGGATCTCCCTATCCCCCAGCCCTCCCTAACGAGGCTGGCATAGCCTTCAAGTGTTGTGCTGACAGAGAAAGAAGAAAAAGAAAACAAGGTGCCCAGCCCTGGGCAGAAGGCACATGGTTTGGTTAGTGCCAGCCTCTGGCACAGCTGCTCACCACAGAACCCTTTTCTGTCTCCTGGCCTTACCCTGACCTGCAGGCAGCAGAGGAGCCAGCAAGGGGCAGGGGGCAGGTCTTGCCTGCCATTGCATCTGGAGAGGTGGGTTGGTGCCTTGAGCAAAAGACCATGTGGCTTCTGCGGTCACACGTGGACGACATTGAAAATGACTGGAAAGTCACCAGGTGAGCTCCCTGTCCCTGCCCTGTACAGATTCCCTGTCCATCCCTGGGGGGGCTGGAGCTGCTACAAATGAGTGGTTTGGGTTGCTTCCACCGTCACTGTCGAAAGTGTTGGCAAAAGTAGGTTTAATATCAGTTTGCAAAAGCGCGACTCAGCAAACTTCGATGGCAAGGTTCACTCTATTGCTTGCTGTGTGGGTAAAAGCATGTAAAAATAACACCCTCTGCAGGCCCACTAAGGTGAAAATGCTATGGGAGAATACAGGGCTGGGTGGGCATTTGGACGTTGTCATGTCCCACCCTCACATCTTCTTCTGTGTCCCTGCAGGGTCGGCACCAACATCTTCACTCGTCTGCAATTACAGACGGAGTGACAAGGGCAGCAGGGGCGTTCCCAGGCCAGCAGCAACACTGGGGGGGAAGCCCCCACTCCTGCCCCACCACTTCTGTCTCCCAATAAAGCTTTGT